TATTTCTCTCTTCTCTATGAATGTATTTCTGACTTTTTTCTTTGCACACAACGGTAGCATTGTTTTGTACTTGCTTTACTCACTTAATGAATCTTTTGGATTAGTCGATTTTCTACCAGATGGAGTTTCATTCCAAGCTAAGTAGTCCATTGTGTGGGTGTACCTTGATTAATTTAAATAATCTCCTATTAATGGCCATTTAAATTATATCAAGTTTTCTACTAGGGTATGTGCATTTTAAATTTTCGTAGATATTGCCAAGTCTGCGTTATTTGTAATGACCACTTCGTGGCTCGTGGTAGTGATTTATTTCCCTGTTGTTGGACTTGTATATGAGACTGCATTCTGTAGTCCACAATGGTGTGATGAATGTCTTCCGGCTAAGTATCTAGTGATTAGTAACTCAGGATAAATGTCTTGAGGTGGAACTCTACATGAGTGGATATGCCCACATTCAGGGTGATCTGGATATAGCCTCTGGGAACTGAGCAGTAAGTGTCACTTACATTCCCACTGGCAGTAGGTGAAAATGTCTGTTTCCCAGGTCTCTTCCAGCATCAAATTAGAAGTGTAATCAGGTTAATGTTTTTCTTGTTAATTAGGTGAAGAATGGCAACCAGATTTTAAATTTCCATTTCTTTGTTTATTAGCTGTGTTGAATTCATCTTCGTGTATCTATTGGCTAGTTTTATTTTGTGTTCTTGGCTAGACTACAAGTACCCTTGGCTCATAGTTCTTTGGGGATGTTAGGCTGTTGGCCCACATTCAATTTCCTGGTTTTCCCACTAGTCCTCATTGTTTTGGAGAGCACTAAAGGTTTCATAATAGTCTGCATGAAAACTCCTAATTCTTTCTACTTAATGGAGGCCGGAGTGAGTCAGTGTGGAAAGATCTCAACCTCTGGGGTTTATATGAGGGTTCAAAGCCTGACCTCTAGTTGCCGAACCTCTCCAAGCACATGAGGATGGGAGGCTCCTGGAGCCTGCCCCTGCCCGGTGCTCCCGGGGTGGGTTCCAGTGTCAGAGGGAGCAGCGACCACCAGCCTGTCCGCTCTGCTGGCTCCCTGCGAGCGTGCACCCGTCACCTGTGAGCTCACGGTGGCTCAGAGCACTTGCTGTCATCACCACCTGGTGCCCTCCGGGGAACGGGCCTCTGGCCAGAGTGCCCAGGAGATCGCTTACCTCCGAGACACTTCCAGCACAAACTTACACCAGCATCGTCACATTTCACCTCTCAGGTAGCTGTGGCCAGGTTGTGGGGTGGAACCAGAGTAGGACGGAAACTTAGTGATATTAGAGCAGGAACACGTTAAAAAATTAATGTCCGTGAACACTCACGATATTTGGGACCTTTTCACATCAGTACCAGAATATTACAAAATTAAGAAGTTATGCTTCCCCTTCTTTGTGTGTCATTATTAGGAAACAGTCCATAGAAACTGAATGCTACAGAAAGATTAGAGTCCAGATTTGAACTGCTACTATAACTCTATGGCAGTGCCTTCCCTGTCCCCCGTCCCCCCCATAGTGGGGCACATAAGCACTCTTTAGTGTTGCTGGGGTTTCAGAGAACTGTTAACTTAGATGTGTGAACACACAGTGAGGCTAATCACCCTTTAATATAAAGCCATCTAGAATCCTTTTCCCCAATTCTAAAAGGAAGAGAGATTTCTTGTAAAAAAAACTAGAGAACTTCATCAGAGATAAAATATACCTAATATCACAGTGTAATGAATTGTAGCAAATATGAGCAGAAAGTCAATAGAGTAGGCAATGGTACCTAACTCAGAGGAAGTACAAACACCTGGAGAAGGGATGCGCGGTGTTGGTTTCTGTGGATGGATGGTCAGGCGAGCTCCAGGCAGTGGGAGAGGAACTGTAGACAGCAGCAGGTCACAGACAGGGATGAGAGCTTCTGCTTCTGTGGAAAACAATTCCCTATCTGGCAACAATGTATACAAAGCAAAACAACAGTTTAAAAGTACAACTCACCTAATGGCAGGGGAGTTGGGGAATAGGTCTGCTGATACATTGTTTCCCCCGGCAAAGCAAAATGAACTGCAGCGTAAACCAACATGTAATGAGCTGTACAGCAGTTTATGGTCTATGCTTTGGAGAATGAATAACAAGGAAATAATTCAAAAGTAAGAGGGAAAGTTAGAAGAAGGTGGGTAGCAAGGGCCTCTTCATGCCTGATAGAGCCACCCATGCACAATCCGTTCTCAGCTGTGCCGCCTGTTTACCCAGCAGACCAGAGCCCCTCCCAGACCCGGTACAGCAAGACAATTGCAGCTAGAAGACACAGCTCGTGCACTTGGAGAAGCACTGTTCAAAACAGCTAAAACTGGGCAGTACTCAAGTACCACAGAGGGTAAATACCGCAAACCAAGACACAGGGACTCAGTCATGGAGACAAACCAGAATTTGGAGGCTGAGTGCAGCCTGTGATGTTCAGTGGTTTGGTTTTCAGTTCTCTAAGCCTCGTTTTTTTGTCTCCACAATAGGACAAATAATAATTACGGTCTGTCACATGTGAGCATTCTGTAAATGATAAAGCCTTACGTAACAATGTCAGCTGCTCACCTGGTTGTTCTGTCTGGCGTATTGACTTGGGGCGCTGCCCTGCGTCCACAGTGGCGCGTTGTTCTACACCAGCGCGTGGAGATTTCAGGAGGAAGCACCTTGCACTGAAGGCAGCAGGGCCTGGCTGCCTGTGCGTTAACGAGAACCGCAGCACTTGGCACGAGTGAGGGAATTCAGGGGAGATAATATTCCTTTTTTCACGGTTTGGAACGAAGTACACAGGAGATGCACAGATTTAAACTGAAATTTCAACGTTATTACTGATTAAGGTCAGATCGGACAGAGGTTCATACACACACGCACTGTGACCCCCTTCCCTGGACCCCTTTGGCATCCTGGTGAAGTTTGTGGACCTCCCTTATAATTTAATGTTTTTAAATATATAAAATGGAAATACACAGGATTACAGAGGGCATTGATGGTATTGAGATAGAGGAATGTGTGTTCTTCCTTACTGAACACAATGAGCTGCAGGTGTGGTTGAGTAATTAGCAGGCATAGGTGGTACCTGCAATATGAACACATCTCTGACCGTTGTGGCGACAGAGTACCAGGCTGTGGTCATCCTGTGGTTTGTTGCTCACAATGGATCATTGAAGGGAATGCCACGTTTCAGTGAGAGGTTAGTGGGTATAAGAGTGTAACTATTTAACCATCCAAGTTCATACACCTCCTCTCCCCGCTCCCCTCCGGAAGTCTCTCCTTGGGCCCCTCCGTGGACCCAGGTTGAACACCTGGATTAGGGGGTTGGCCCAGCAGCTTCCTAATTAATGCCACCCCTGAGCAAGGAATGACCTCCCCACACACGCACGCACACACGCACGCATACACACACACACACACACACACACACACTGCGACAGGCACAGGCAGACAAGGGGGTGGAATGAGGGCCGGAGGAGGAGTGCCCACCTGGTGGGAGGCAGCCCAGGCCCCTCCGCCCTCTGGAGCAGATCAGCAGTCTCCTTCCTGTCCCTACTCAGCAATGCCAGCACCGTCCTCCCGGGCAGGAGAGGGGAGGCTGCCCTGGTTCTGCCGGGGAGGCCCCGCTGCAGCCCTGGGATGGGACAGGCCGCTCTTCAGCTTAGTTCGCTTTGCTCTCAGTACGGCCGCAGAGCAGCATTTTATAACTATAGGGCCCGTGTGTCCTGAGCCAGCCTCGGGCCTCAGCCGCCAGACTGCTTCCTGCTCGCCCTCCTTGGATGTGTCTTGTGCCAGCAGCCCATCACCTGCTGTGGGATAAGCCTGGTGAGGACGAGGGGTGTCTGAGCCCCAGGGAGGGGTGCAGACCACGGCTTAGCGGCAGCCTGGTGCTGTGGGCTCATGTCACCACACATCAGACCAGGGATGAGAGCAGCCAGGCTTGTCCAAGGGGACGGGGTCGCTGCTCTCTCCTGTGAGGGCCTCGGCAGCTTCCTGAGAGAGGAGAGGCACTGGGGACAGGTAGCCGTGGCTGCCTTCTGAGGTGTTGGCCAGAGAGAAGGCTCTCGTCTGGCTGCCTGTGGAGGTGACCTGCCACTCGCGGCCCTGTCCTCCCAGCACATCCGCCCAGGGCAGAGGGTGAAGAGGGGCTCTCGCTTTCTTTCTTGGGACCGCCTTTGGAGCCCGTAGTGAGGGGAGCCCTTTTCTCCTCCCCTCACCGAGTCTCTTCTTAAAGTGACCGCCAGGACCGGCACTGGCTGCGGGCAGGTTTCGTTGCCTGTTGTGTGGGTTTAGCAGGCGCCTCTGAAGTGCTCTCTGGAGTTTTCTGTGTTGTGCTCCCGAATGTAGAAATTTCCACTTCTTTGTGCACAGACGTTTTATAAATTATCCATAGGACGATACTGGTTGGGTTATCAGTTTTCCTAATGTTTAATCAGAGGCAGGAGACAACTTAGCGTGTACGTTGACCTCAGTGCTTGCGAGAGCTGCGCCGCCACGTGGGACGAGCAGGGCTTTGCGTCTCATCCCGCGCTGACTGGGCTTGGAGGTCAGCTGGGCTATCCGTGCTTTCTCCTGCACGGTTCCCCCAACCTGCCTCCTCCCGTGTCCCCTCCGCACCAGGCACGGTCTGAGTGGTGGGCTGGCCACCTGGGGGCACCTGGCTGTGTCCCTGTCTTCCATCTGTGCCATCATGAAAGTCCCCAAGGCTGACAACAGAACAGGTTTCTCTTTGGGCCTGCTCAGAGCAGGAGTTTCAGGCTTTCTCCTCTTGCTGTTTCCCCTCAATGCTGAGCTTGAACATAGACAATTCAGTGGGGAAATTGCCAGGAGAAAGAGTGGTAACTGTGAGAGACAAAATAAGCCTTTTCCTTAAAATTCCTGATTTCTTGATATGTACAGATTAGCTCACATAATCGTAGTAAATAATATAATCTCTGAGTGATACAAAATGTAGGAAAAAAGCATTATAACCGTGCTTATTTCTCCCTTTATTAGGACTTTCTGAAGACGTTTTCCCCCGACGTCTTCCGGCTCTTCTGCATGCGCAGCAGCTACAGGTCAGGTGAGCCAGACACCGTCGCCCTCTGGGTCTGACGACCACAGCGTTCACCCATTTACAGCCTGGAAATAATCATTCCAGCGGTGTTTGGGGATAGCAAGATATGGGCCGCAGAGTAAATGCGACCCCATGAGCGTGGGTTCTGCAGTGAGCCCAGAGGGTGCGTTGTCAGGCCCGGCTCAGCCAGGAGGTCTGGAGCTCGTCTCCTAGAGGACGTGGTTCCCGCGTCAAGCTGAGTCCTGTCCAGCGCTCCCTCCCTGTGGGGTCTGACAAGCCGTTGGCCCTGCAGCATCTTGGCGTTTGCGTGGTGAACTGTGAGGATGACACCGGTCAACCTCACATGGTGCCTGAAACACAGAAGCCCTCGGTGTGGGGCCACCCCACCTGTCCACCCAGGGGCCCCACCTGCTCCTGTGGTTTGCAGGGGACGGGGCCCTGGAGGAGTGATGCTGGTCGCTGCAGTGCTGCCTGCTGCCCTGGGCTGGACTCCTGGGAAACCATCGTGTCCCTTGGAGGACGGCAGGCACAGCCCTGACTAGACCACCTGACTGGCAATAAGCCTTCCAGGGTCTGACTAGCTCTGTTGGAGGAGCGGGGCCCGTGTCTCTGGGGACAGGCTGGGCAGTGAGGGGCGCAGGGGAGGCATGCACAGCCTGGGCCCTCAGGTGCTGTCTAGCTGCACACCTGCACTAGGAAGGCAGTGGCCAGGGCTGAGGGGGACCGTGGTGGCACCTCTGTCGATGGGAGCTGCACGGAGTTCCCTTTACAGTGCAGGCGGCCGGCTTCCTCTCACTCTCACTGAAGTGTAAAAGCTGGGTCGATCATGAGGAAACAGTGGAGCTACAGTACTAGTCAGTCCTTGAATTGGGTGGTGGCATCAGCAGCGGGCTGGCAGTCCGAGTGCCCCACGGGGGCTCCTGTACAGCGCCACCCCCCTTCCTGCCAGGCTGCCCCATGGCACTGCCCTCTGCACTCACACCAAGTGCGGCAGTTTCCTCTGGGCCCTCCGTCCCCACAGCGCCTGTTGAACCTCCTGTCCTGGCTGGGGCCGCGTGCCCCACTGAGGTCAGCAGCGTCTGAGTTCTGTCTCTCCGGCCTCCTCGTGCCCCACTGCTCCACTGGTGCCTGTGTCCATGTCCTGTGCTGCTGTCAGATTGCCTCCCTCCGTCCCCCTCTCGTCCCTCGTCTGCACCGCCCTTGCTCCCCCTGGTCACATCCCGTAGTGCATGAAGAGATGGGGTGGGGGCATGCAGAACACAGTTGATTCTCAGCTCACCCATGGGGCGAATGTGCCCCAACAACATACTGTATGGCATGCACGGAGCTCTTGGCTGTTTGGGTTCCTTGGGCTCCTTTCCCAGGAGGCCCCTCTCCCCTTCCTGTGCAGAGTCTCACCCAGCCATTGGCCAAGCACAAGCTCCCCTGCTCCAGCTGAGGCGCCCAGATGTCTGCATGCTTTGGCTACCTGCAAGGTCACACAATTAACACACAGATGCACACATACACAAACATGCTCACAGTGACATGCACATGCCACACACAATTAACATGCAGATACCACACACACTCACAATTAACACGCAGATGTGCGCACACAGATGCACTCGTAGTTGACACACAGCCGTGCACACATTGAGACACACACAATTTCTGTTCCCTGAATTACTTCAGCGCTTAGTCATTTGCCATTTGGCGTTTCCTGCCAGTCTTGCTGGGACACTTAGGGTGAGCAGGTCGTGACCTCCCGGCTGAGCAGGCTTTGGAGCCTGGATCGTGCCTCTTACTCCCCCTCTCAAGCTGAGCACTGCAGCCTGCACGGCAGCTCCCTTCACGTGTGTGCTGACTGGTTACCGTTTCTTAGTCGATCGGATGCTGATCAAGAGGAATGGAGGGACTGATGCAATACAGTGTTGTAGGTTGATTTAGTGTTAAATAGCAAACTTGTTTCTCCAGGTTCTTGTAAATTTCTGCAGTGGTTGCATTTCCTTTTGCAATCACAGGAATAAACCCCCATGATTTCCATTTTCCTTCGTAATATTTGTTGTCAGAGGCAGTGAGAGAAGCCCACAGGTTGATAGAAGATGTCTATGTATGTTTCATGAAAGCTGTCATACACAGAAAGACAATATTTTTTGGTAAATAAACTTAGTGTCAGTTGAAAAAAAAAAAAAGTGTGTTCTGAGTGCAAGGTCCTGTCCAGGCTCTGTGGGACAGATGACGCGGGTGCCACATCAGTATTCAGTCTGGAAGTTCTCCCACATGGCCAGTCCCGCACAGCCGTGCTGCCAGGAAGCGTGGGGCACAGGGCGCGGGTGGAAGGCCGAGAGCCATTCCCACACCCCACTAACAGCAGCAGGCGAGCTTGGCACATGTGCAAGGAAGCACGTCCCGTGTCCTGTGGAGCACAGAGGAGCCGTGAGGCCGGCAGGTGCAGCCACAGTAATGCTGGGCTTCCCGGATGCACACCTTGCACTCAAAACCCCGCCATCCTAGGATGCGCACGTCATCCTTTTGCCCATGTCTTTATTCCGGCTCTGATGTGCACACAGTGTGGTATGGGCTTTCTGCTGCTCATCCAGGTTCTGCACACTATGGATGACCCAAGTCTTTCCCCGCAGGGTGGAACTGCAGTGCGCTGGGCCAGGGGACTTACGCTCCCGGGGTTGGGGGTGGTGCAGGAGCAGCCTCCAGCTCTGCGGTAGACTCGCCTGAGGACCTAGTCGTCCTGAGACAGAGGGTGGCACCAGTCTCCTCGCTGTCTGTCTTGTGCACCGTGCATATAGCTTGTGTTTCTGTCTCTAATGAACACAGTCTAGCCATGACTATGCGAGGAAGATGCAGAGAGGTAAATTTACTGGGGAAATCCATTGTTTGTCTGGCTGTGTTGCTAGGAAAGGGAAGAGCACGTCTCAGAGACATGGTAGATGAACTTCACACACACAGCACAGAGCTCTCTCTTCCTGGCTTCGAAGCTCGTTCCTCCCTCATGGTCCTTTCAAAACCATCCTGAGCTGAGCCCTTCCCAGTGTCTTTTCATCCTTGGAGGCCCCTGCCGCCTCCTCATCATAGACTGTGGAGGGATGGGGCAGGGCTTTGCATTGCTTATTTTATTTATTATTTATTAGTATTTTTAGGGACTGGGTCTTGCTCTGTCACCCAGGCTGGAGTGCAGTGGTGTGATCATAGCTCACTGCAACCTTGAACTCCTGGGCTCAAGTGATCTTCCTGCCTTAGCCTCCTGAGTTGGGACTACAGGTGCATGCCACCATGCCCTGCTAATTTTTTAATTTTTACTATTTTTATTTTTGTAGAGATGGGGTCTTGCTATGTTGCCCAGGCTAATCTTGAACTCCTGGCCTCAGGCGATCCTCTCACCTCAGCCCCCAGTAGCTGGGATTACAGGTGTGAGCCACGGCACCTGGCCCTACTATTTTAATCTCTGCTTGTGTAGTTCCTTTTGAACTTTGAATACACAGTTTGGTCTGAAAAGCTTTCTGAAGCCTCGGCAGCCATTTCGGGAACTCATCCCAGTGGGAATTTTGGGTGGGATTTAGGGGGCACTGACCTGCCCATGAAGGGTTTCTGGGAACACTGATCCTTCCCTGAGTAGCAGCTTAGCTGGGACATGGACGCCCACACTGGACGGATGCCCTGGGCATACGGAGATCTGTCTGGTGCGATCGCAGGCTCTCTCAGCTTCCCTCCGGGCCGGAGCCACCGCCTTTCCTGGTGTGGAACTTCACCTTGAGGGAAGAGTCTCTAAAACCCCATCCAGGCAATGGACTGGGACAGGTGCAGCAAGAGATCCCACTCCCGTGCACGCTGCGCTGCACACGCGCTTTGGAAAAGCGGTTGTTTTCTTGCCCGTTTTCCCCATCTATAAAGTAGAATCCTCGTGGAAAATGCTGTGCTCTTTGACCTGCCCTCCCTGTCTGGGGTGCGTGTTCTTGCTGCTGTTCATGGGAATTTTGTCCCGGGTCTCTGGGCGTAGGCTTTACACTAGTGCTACCACGCATGAGAGCATTATCTTAGATTTTGTCAGTGCATTGTGGGTTTCCGGGTTTTTCTCTTTTGAATCAAGCTATCCAAAGCAAAAACTGAAACTGGGTTTTGAGAAAAATGGAAACATTTTAAGCAAGACATTGGAGAACCTTGAAAGTTTCATCACACTGCTGCCCAGCCTGAATCCACGTCTGACCGTGGCATTCCGTTTTGGAACCCACGCTTCCAGGCACGCGGGGCGGCAGTCTGCGATGCATGTCCAGATAGGCTTTCGAAGTGTCGTTTGCTGCAGAGCTCCTCAGCAGGGTCTGTGCGCCCAGCCAGGTGGGGACGTTTGTCCCGTCTGACACAAAGTAGGCACAGAGATTAGAGCCAGGTTTTAGAAATTTACGACAAGTTGACAGTGCTGCTATTCGGGTGTGTGTAGTCATTGTGACATAGTTCATCTTTACTGTGTCTTACCTATTAAGGTGCAGTAGATTAGAAATGATAAAAAGCCAGAACACACGGGTTCCTCGTTCTGGGTCATGAGAAACACTCATTCTGCAGCCCCGAGTTTGGACCACTCCCCCCCCTTCGGACTGGTGAGCTCTGTGTCCTCGTGGCACCAGTGGGCGCATCTCTGGAGGCTCTGTCTGTGCCTCTGTCAGTGGGAATGCGTCCCCTCGGCCAGACGTATCGGGAGTGTTCTTCCGGGGCGGGTGACACTTGAGCTGGGACGACCCCGTGGTCTGTGTCGGGCAGGTGCGGGGAGTCGCGGTTCCCGGAAGGCAGCATTCCCGTCCCAGAACGCTGCTGATGCTGATGGTGTGGGCGCGGCAGGCACCACCCCAGACGCTGTCTCTTCCTCCTCAGCCATCGACTACAGCGACAGCGCCGTGCTCCAAGCCCAGCACCTGCTCCTGGGGCTGTGCTCCTTCCTTGCTGACGCGCGTGCCTACATGAAAGGGCAGCTGGCCTGCGGCTCCGTCCAGGAAGACCAGCTGTGGGAGAGGTAAGAGGCACATCCAGGGCCCACACGGGCTGCTGTAGGGACGGGAGGACCCAGAGACAGGGCACTCGTCAGGGAGCAGGTGCCAGTCCCAGGGCTCCTCCCTCACTGGCTTTGGGGCCCTGGGCAAGTCCGAGGTCCCGCTGGGTGAGAGTGGAGGAGAGCCCCGCCTGTGGGTGGGCATGAAGGCTGTAATAGTGTGCATCCCGGACGGGCTCGCCAGGCTGGGCAGAGTGGCTGGGCACTTATGGTGTTTGGGAAACGGAGGCTCTTACCACTGGACTTCACAGTTGGAGGGAGACTCGCAGGCAAGTGGACGCACTGGACCTTCAGAGAAATGGGCGTGTCATGGCAGGGTCGCGGGCATGGTGGGGTTGGGGGATACAGCAGGTCTTGGTGACTAAAGCCAAACCTATACCAGGAATTGGCAAATGAATCTTCTGCAAGACAAGCACACAGCCCACCCTGCCGGCCCGCGGCTAATAGTGACCTGCCGTCGCCTGAGGGAGGAGCATGTGCTCGTGTCCTTACAAGGGTGCCTGGGCTGAGCCACGTAGACTCCGGGTGGCGACAAGGGGCTGAGGAGATGGGGTAACTCTAGCGCAGACAGCGAGTAGGAAGGAAGAGGGGGACCCCAGCACCAAACGGGGATGTATTCCATGAAAGTTCCAGTCTGTCACCTGGTTACAGGGTAAACATTTGTCATTACGTGTCACATCAGGAGGTTTCAGGGCTAACGTCAGGCAGAGCTTCCTGATGGACGGTGGACGCTCCTCCACTCTCCCCTAGCGAGGGGAAAGAAGTGCGGCCAGCTGTTCAGACGACTGCCAGACGCTTGCTGGTGGCTGTGCTGGGACGTGTGCCCCTCGGGATCCCCAGGAAGGATGAGGAACCTTGGGCTCATCTGGAGTCTGTCGGGGAGGGGTACCCCCAGAAGACAGCTAGAGCTGAGTCATTCTAACCGTGGGCCTAGGACCACCCAGAGCTGGGCTGGGGACAGGCCAGCAGCTCGGCCACCATCAGAGGGAGGCAAAGGACTGTGGGTGGCACCAACACAGGAAGAAAGACTGAGGCGTGTAGGGGCAGGTGACCCTGCCGATGGGTCTGGAGAGGCCTAGCTGTGCTGTGTGACATCCGGCCTGAGTCCCCGTGCAAAACAGCAAGGGCTTCTTCCTCACGGGTCACCAGAGGCCTCTACACGTCACTCGGGCCCGGGCTGACCAGAAGCTGCAGTTTCTCCCTCGGTGGTGCAGCGCTGAGGGGAGGGAGCACAGGGGCCTTGTCTCAGTAGTGGAGGTGCCGGCCCTGAAGTGCAGGTCACCACTGCTCACACGGCCAGAACTGGCCACAGGCCCCACTGGCCTGGAGGGCACCCAGAAGCCGATCCTTCCACGTGACCCCAGGGAGAGGATCAGGGGAAGCGGGCAGAGCACCCTTGACAGTGACAGCTAGAAGTGGCCATTTCAGCAGGGCCAGAGATGAGGCCTTAGGGGTCAGCGAAGCCCGAGCAGGTGTATGGGACAGGCCAGTGCGCCTGGAGAGAGCGAGGGGACCCGGGGGACACGTGGTCTCCTGCAGGAGTGCCCCAGTGGGGTTGGTGAGGTAGAAGTGTGGACACGGGGCCATCACCAATGCCGCTCTTTGAAGGATGTCTGAAGGCGAAGGAGAGAGCAGAGGCCACTGTGGGAGGTGACACAGAGCAGGCGCTGTTCCCATGCTCAGAGAGGGTCCCTGAGAGGCAGGAGCCCAGGGTGCTACCCTCCTGTCAGCCTCTGCGTTCTTGGTAGCCCAGAAATGAGGGAAGTTCTCAGAGGAGGCAGAGGTCCTAGCCCGACGAGGCCGCCTGGCAGCTTTGGGCACACTTCCTGCCACGAGACACGGGCCCGGAGCCACCCTGGGACCGGCTTCTCCAGAGCCCGTGCAAGCCCCTATGATTCCCCACCCGGGTCCTGTCTCGGGGCTTCCTCACATGGCCCGTCAGGCAGGCAGAAACAGCCAGTGCCCACCTCTCCTGGCCGCCTGCCCAAGGCTTGCCTTGACACCTCGCACAGCCCGGTCGTGTGAAGGTGACAGCTTTACTTTGTGACAGCTCTGCTCAGTTTCTCACTATTGGTTTCCAAAACCATTAGGAAAATGCCCACGAGTATCTTGGGTATTCAGATACAGGCTTTACAGGTTACCTCCACTCTAGACAAAGTCTGGTTTGGATGACGTGGCCGTCTGGAGTTGACGTTACCCAGTTAAGATCCTGTTGCGCTGGAACTAGCTTATCACTGTGCACGAACGTGACCCAGTTAAACCCCAGCCCCACTCCCAGGGATGCTGTGCTTCTGAAGGGCTGGCTGAGGTGCCCAGTTGAGCTTCCCTTTGGTTTCAATGACTGTTCCCATCTCTCCTCAGACTCTCCAGCACCAAGGGGACCGTGCAGGCCGCGCTGGCAGATGACTTTGACATGCCCAGGGCAGTGGACGCCATCCTGGGCCTGGTGCACCAGGGGAACGGACAGCTCAGGGTGGCTCAGGTAACAAGGGCTGGCAGCCTCCTGGGCCTGCCTCTAAGTGGGATGGACAGGTGGGGGTTTGCTCCATGGGTCTTTCTCATGTGGAAGTAACCCACAGCTGGCTCTGGTGACCCCGCCTCCCACAGCTGGTGGCCTCTGGGCACCTTCTGACCAGCCCCTCAGTAAGAGTCTGGAGCTCATCTGGCGTGCGTGGTCCGCCCTGATGGCCTGGCCAGGCCCCAGCCACCCAGCGACTCTGGGAATACACAGAGCACGCGGCACAACCCTGGCACGCCCTGCGTGACCCTCCTATTTGCATGGAGGAGCTTGGTGGAGTCTGAGTTTGTTGCTCAGACATGAAATGGGAGGACACTGTGCATTGGGACCCGACTGTGCTGCCACCCAGCCTGGGTCTTGGGGCCAACTGGGAATGACCAGCTCTTCAGAGATTCTACACGTGCCTGATCCTCAGGGAACACGTTTCATGTACACACTCCATTTGTGACACTTTGTTAGAAAAGTTCTTTTTTTGAAATGGCTTCTTGCTATGTAGTCTCGAACTCCTGGCCTCAAGCAGTCCTCCATCCTCAGTCTCCCAAGTGGCTGGGACTACAGGTGCACACACCACACCCGGCTCAGACAGCGTCTGTGCAGAACTTAAGGAAAGACCCATCCACCCCCTTGTGGGTATCGTGCGGTTGCACCCAGGGGCTGAGCCTGAGCCGCTGCTCCCTGAAGGTGTGTGGAGTGCTAGACAGAGACAGGAGGTAGGCAGCAGACTTTGGTTCCTGCACACTTTTGAGGGTCTCCTTGCCACGCCTTGGGGCTGGGACAGGGACTGGCTGGCAGGTGCTGGCCCTGGGAGGAGCTCCGCTGGGAGCCACGTGACCTCCCAGGATCTGGGAAGGCGCTACAGCTGTGAAGACGCTATTTGAGGCCAGTTTCGTGCCTTTCACACCTTTGGTAACACTTGTAGGTTCTGGTCCAAATCCACCATCAGTACCTTGGTGGAGGGCTCCGTCCCTGGCTGTGCTCAGTTTTGGGTATTAGAAGACAGAGCCCCAGGCTAGACCCTGCATCAGTCACAGCAGGCAGGGCTGGGAGGCTGTATCCCTCACAAGCCTGCAGGGCCCACGCCTGTACGACGTACCTGTGGTCTGACCAGCACAGGCAGACTGTGGGCTGTAGTCTCTTCTGAGTCACCCAGCTGGTCAGTGTGACAGGCAGGAGCATGTCAGTCCCAGCCGGGTGGATGGAGGGACACAGCACCCGGCACTGCAGGGTTGGGCAGATCCAGCGGCCAGGACTGTGGTGGCACAGGAGTGCTTCCCACTTTGCCCACGGTGGCCTTCCCCAGCCTCCTGCCTGCCCTGCACCTATATGCCCAGCACTGCCCGGCCGCCCCAGCTCAGGCTGCAGGGGCTCCTTGGGCCTGGCCGCCTGCACTTTTCTGTCGTGATCTTTGCAAGTGCCCAGGAATGAAGAGTGGCATCACGCATGTGTCTGTGCTCCTTGACTGGCGCAAACACACGTGTCAGGGCTTCCTCACTTTCTCTCTGACTCAGAAATCCAGCGCAGGTCCCACTCACCCTCCACATGCTGTAGCCCCATCACACTCACCGTCACCCACCAGGGCCTCATGAGCTAGGACCACCATCCCCAACGTTACAGAGGGGGAAACTGAGGCACCAGGGACCCTGCTGCACCCACGCTCATGTGGTCTGCCAGGGAGGTTGGCTGATGCTGGCGCTGTGTCCTCGCTCACAGAAGCTAAAAGGCCCCAGGGCAGTGCGTGCCGGGCTCCTCCTTTGAGTTCCCACACTGGCATCTGACTGCCTTCAGAGCCCCTGCGGTGCTTCCTTACAGGAACCTGGGGGTCCCAGAAGCCCTGCCGTGTTTGGCGCCATTGTCTCCTACATTGAACAGTTTTTTGAGACCGCTGGAATTTCTCTGGCAAATCAACAGGTATGTCCTTTTCTTTTAAATGCTTAATTATGGAATTACCTGCATGTTGGTGTAATAACCTTTATCCTTTTAATAGATAATTATAATGCCAAATTAATTTGCCTGCTTTAAAATGTTACTTTCCTGGAAAAACACTCAGAGCTATTACTTATTAACTGGAATTGTGGGATTCCACTTCCACAGCTGGCAAACGCATGTGAGCAGAGAGCTCAGTCCACCTCGGTGCAGAGTGGTCTGTCGTCAGCGCTGCACACACTTCTTTATTTTGAAACACTCAAAATGTAAAAGTCACATGTATGATAAGATTTTTTCTTGAACCATTTGAGAGCAAGCTACGGCTTGACCCTCTTGCCTGATGCCATGGTGTGTTTCCTACAAACAGGCTCTAACAGAACACCCCCCTTCAGCCCTCAGCCTTGGTCCCAGTGAAGTCCTTTTTGGCAGAAGGGCCCTGTTCAGAAGCCCACGCTGCACCCGCACGTTCCTGTCTCCAATGGGAGGAGGAAGTAGGGGGTAGGGGGAGAAGGCTCCTGTGCAGTCCTGATTTACACGGTGTCTAGGCAGGGCCACCGAGCTGCTGGCCTCAGAGCGTTGAGCTGGAACAGCACATGCACATGCAGAGCGCTGCAGGGCATCTCTGTGGTTCTGAATTTTTCATTCGTCAGGGCCAGATGTAAGGCAATGCCCGCCTGTCAGGCAGCAGCCCTCACATCTGTACCCCAGCCCTTCCCTGTGGCCCCCAGTGGGCACTGGTCAGCTGTGTAGGGTTGAAAGAGGACAGTGGAAACATGTGGCTGCCCTGCACCATCCCCAGAAAGAGGCCAGCGTTGGGGGCCTTGGGCTAGAACCCTGCCAGGGAGGCAAACGCCACCTGTGCAGACTCTCGCAGCGTGGCCATGCCTGGCTCAGTGTGTTTCAGGAGACAGCAGCGCGGCCACCCTGCACGGCGTGGTGGAGGAGCTGGTGCGGTTCCGGCAGAGGGTCCGGCAGTTCGCGCTGACCACACCAGAGGCCACCAGGGAGGCCCGACAGCAGCAGCTTCTGGAGAGGCAGCCCCTGCTGGAGGCCTGCGATGCCCTGCGCCGGGACCTCACCGCCCATGGCATCAACATCAAGGTGAGTGCTTTGGCCTGGGGACCCCAGGGCCATCACCCCAGGTGCCAGGAATGTCCTCAGGTATCACACAAACACCAGGCTGTGACCATGCTTCCTCGTGAGTGGAGAAACCCACCCTGTGGCAAATCTGGAGGGATGTTGGGGCAGGCGTGTCAGAGCTGGAGAGAGATGCTGGGGGAGGGGGAGGCACACAGGCTGGGCAGTGTCTCATGAGGATCCAGGTCCTGCCCCACCCTCCCTCCTCCCCGCCAGGTCACACTGCACCTGCCTTGGCCTCCTGGCCTTTACCAGAGGGCATCAGCATCCCCTTTTTAAGCATCCAGCTGCCTCCTTCAGGGCCAGGTCATCAAAGGATCAGGTGGCAGCATGCTGGACGTCACCCTCTGAACGCGACATGGCGTCTAGTCAGACTTGGGATCTGTTCTCTCTGCAGGACAGAAGCAGTACAGCCTCCACGTGGGAGCTGCTAGGTCAAAGGACAAAAGGCCCCAAACCAGGGAGCTGATGGAGTGAAGCCGGGACCACCCCTCACGTGGCGGCCTCTGTGCTTGCTGACGATGCAGACTTTATATTAAAGAAGTTTCTATTGTGGCTGTTCAGTCAACATTAAAACAGAGCAAACCAACGCTATCCCGCTGGTGTCAATGACTAGGCCTAAAAATTTAATCTATGGTGCCAAGGGCCAGAGGCTCAACATTAAGTTTGGTAAAAGCACATCAGCTATCCAGCGGGAGTCCGAACAGCAGACGTGCTTGCGCACAGTGAGACCAGCTGGCCCGTGCCCGAGGATGGGACAAGGCAGGAGGCGCGGAAGAGCAGGAATGGGCGCGGCCAAGTCAAAAGCGGAGAGGATGGACTGTGCGGCAGACGAGGCGGCTTCCCCTCCCGGCAATTACAGAATGTGTTCACCACAGAAAACACAACACCCCTGCAGTCTTGCTACACAGTTAACATCCTGACAGCTCGTGTCACCTTGGCTTTCATGCTGTGAGCAGCCGGGGTCGGGGCTGGGCCTGAGAAAGGTTAGCTGTGGCAAGGTCAGGACAGCCAGGTGAGAGCAAGATGGGGAGGCCTGACAAAGACAGGACTGCCCTGTGTGCAGTGCGGCCGCCCTTCCGGAGCACCTGTGAGCTCCCGATCTCCTCACCTTTCTGTGACAGGACCACAGTTCTCAAACGAACCAGCAGAAGCCAGGTGGCCCTTTCCTTCCCTCCCCAGCTCGCAAACGCTGGGCAGGCCCCTCCCAGTGTCCCGCACTGTGGTGCCGGCATCTCTTGATCCCCGGCACAGCTGTGGGATGAGCAGCGCCTTGTCGACGTTTAGTCACGACCCTGAGGTACTGGTCTTCGCAGTCTACAGATAAGGACAGCGGTTCAGAAGTCACCCACCCAGGGATTAACGTAGAGGGAAGATTCCCAGAGGCTGCTTTATGATGAGACACCCAGACAAGGCCACTCGGTACTGGGGGGCAGACTGTCCCCCAGCGGCCTGCCACCTCACTGACCACCCAAACATACTTCCTCATTACTCTCCTGGTCCCAGGGAAGCTCCAGGTCATAGTGTCTCTTTACCTGGAGCTAATGAGTAGACACATGTTTGTAAAGAACAGGGAAGCAGTGAACTTCACTTTAAAAATACCATTCAGCAGCAGAGTTCATTTCTAAAAACAAAAAACAGTCCTGGACTACCTGGATGTACTCCCAATCTCTCTTTTAAGCAAAGGGATTCTGTACTTATTCAGAGCAAACTCTTAAGTAACAAAAAACATAATAATTCCTGTGACTTTGCTCATTTTAATTCCTATGGAAAGAAGCGTCTGTGTTTCAGCCTTATTCTTCGAATTATTGTAGCGATATTGGGAGGCACTGGTGATAAGCACAATACTGGACAGAAAGGCTTAGATATTTTCATCTGCCCAGTGTGTGGCAATATCCTCACTTTAGAAAACTGAAAGGTAAGTTTTAGCTATTTGAGAAAAAAATACAAAACACTACATTTAAATAAACCAGATCTGTCTTTTAATAGCTACCAGAGTTTAGATGTAATTCCCCAAAGGAAAAATGTCCATGGCACAATTTTTCTGCAAAAGGTCACATGTAGATAGTGAAGCTTCTAAAGTTAGATGTGAAATTAATAGTAGCACTCATGGAAGCTGCTGACTGGTTTTAAGGAAAGTAGCATCCATCTGTAGCAGTGCTCAAGTCACAGAGCATCACCCAAGAGTAGCCATGAAGGCAAAAGGACTTTGAGGAGTCAGGCAGGTCTGCCCTCGTGAGGGGCTAACAGAGCACCCCATGCACATACCAGGTGCCAACCCTCTGAGACGTGGGACCGGAGAACAAGCGCCAGGCCGCTTTACAAAAACCATTCACACAAACAAAAGCTAACCGAAGGTTAAGAATACAATAAAACGTTATGTTTGCTGAAATTTTAGAGTTATTTTCTGTAATGGATTGCAAATATTCCTGAGAACACAGCTATGCTGCTTCCTAAGCAGACACTGTCATCAGGCCTCCTAATGCATCGCCCCACCAGACCCAGCAAGTCCTGAGTCTTCCAAAAGCCTTTCCCAAGACAGCACCCCCACGTGTCAGGTCTGTCTGGCTGGGGCCTGGCAGTGTCATGGGACTTGAGTGTGTCTAACATGGACAGAGGAGGGTGTCAGACAGGAGGTGTCTCAGAGCTCCCTTCCTGGCCCCTAAAGGGTCAGTGTCACGTTTCGTTCTCTGTTCCCTTGGTGCTTACAGAAGGATCTCTGAGATAAATTGACCATTGACTGTTCTGAAACACTTCAATAAATTAACCAAAACAACCAACACCCAAATGTCTCCAACCTAACCACTTAAACAAAAATGAGCTAGAGAACAACTCTGGTAGACCTCAGTCAAAAACCACAGCCAGTGTTCACGCGGCCCCCCGAGAAGGACTGGCCGGTGCCTTCAACAGGAACCCCTAATGAAGGGAAACCAGGAGAATGAAACGCGTCGGCAGAGAGACTGAGAAGAAATAAGTAGAGACCACGAACAGCTCTGCTGACCTTTGAGCAAGCCAAGAGATTCAGGTGAGCTATTCTCAAAGAGTTTTTCATTCTCATGTGATTCCGTTTTTCTTCTCAGTTACTGCTTAGAAGCTAAAAAAGTTCAGGAATACTTTGATTCATGTCATCGTAACATCTCCAACTACATATTAGTTTAGCCCAAACTTGCAATTTTCTGAATTCTTAAATTCTTCTATCAACCAATTTATGCTACAATTAAAAACCCTCAAAAGTAACCTGTGCTGCTTTGGTACCCTGAGGATTCAGCACATGTAGATATGGATGTTTTCATTACAAATTGCAGTTTCCCCAGCAATGCTGTAATCATCCTGTCTGCACTGGCTCAGGTTTCAAAGAGTTTGCTGAATGCGGCTCCCACCTCGGCGATCATGTCAGTGGTGGTGGTGGAGCGGCCGTGCTTCTGGAAGGCTTGGTGGTTGCACTGCCTTGTGAGCGCGCAGGCCCCGAACGCAGCCACCAGGAGAGGGCTGGACCTGGAAGGAGAGGCGTGAGCAAGAAGCTGCAGGACGAGGCAGTCAGAGGCCCCCACGGTCGAGGGCCCAGACACCTGGAGGTCAGTGGGCTGCAGCTACCATAGGCACTGACTCCATTTCAACCCTGGGACTCCAAATTGGCAGTTTTAAGTCTCATATGCCTCTGAGAAGGCAGCTTTATTACAGCTAAAGTAACCAGTAAGCCCCTGGTACTGTATTCCCTGACAGAAGGCATATGAAAAATATCCATTCAAGACACAGTGCAATACATCAGTGGGAAGCAATTTTCCCTGGCAAAAACCAGCCAAGCACTTACAGGCTGTATGTATTTTAACAGTGCTCTTTAGTCTTACCAGGTTGTGGAGGAATAGCTGAGCCTGAGAATGCAGATTCCTGCTACCATTGTTGCATATACTGGGGGAGGGGAGGAAGGAACTGGAGTGACCCTCTTGCATTTCCCAGTGGAGTTAAAGTCCACACAGACATGCTCAGTTTGGGGGTGGTCCCTGGTGACCAGTGCTCCTGTGCAGGTGTGCTGAGACATCACGTCCAGTAGCGTTCCACCCCGCAGGTGTCAGGTGAGGCCACCGGACCCCAGGCTCACCCTCCAGGGCCCAGGGTGTACCACACCCAGCATGTGCAGACGTCACAGTCACCACGATGGGTTTATAGAGAGAAATTGAGGCGCACAGAGGTGTGGGAACTGCCTGTGCTCAGAAAGCTCTCTGGTGACAGAAATGGGTCCAGAGCCTGGATCTCAAAATTCTGTTGCCTCTTAAATAAATTTCACATCTTTAAGGACAAGTGACTAAGCCTTCAGCCTGCATGTTTTCTGTCTTGGTATTTTGTCTCATCATTGAACTTCTAGAACGGTGTTCTCAACCTGGGGTGCTCTGAAAACCACTGATGCCCCAGGGCCCCACCCCAATGACAGATGGGGCCCAGGAGTAAGCATAGAGCAGAAGCTTCAGTGGAGGGCTAACCTCTGCCCTAGGATCTCTCCGATGAAACAGAGTTCATTTGGAATGTTCCAGGAGCTACTTATTAAATGCATGAGCTGAACAGCTTACAAAAAGTAGACAATTCCAAGGCAGGATAAATGAGGATGTGGCCATACCCATTTGTTTTCTCAGGTCCAGCAAGGAGGGCCCAGTGCACCAGCACGCCCAGGGAGCCTGACAAGAGGTCTCCTTGCCCTCCACACCTGCGGCTGCTGCCTTCCTGGCTGCACGTGAGCACTGCACAGGACAGACAACAGAGTGGACGTTAGCATGGACATGAGTGGACAGTCACACCCAGCCTGGCCACACTGACCTGGCACTGGCCAATCCAGAGCAGACACACAGTGCTGACCCAGAGCCAGCGACATGCAGAGGGAAGCCACCACTCACCCTGTTGGCCATCAGAGATCACGTCACACTCTCCTTTCTGGACCACAGTCACGTTCCCCAGGGCTTGGCTAAGTCTCAGAACAGACCCGTGGTGATCAGTGCTGTCCGCAGGACCCTTGAGCTACAGCATAGGAAGACCACAGAAAAACCAAGACATGTAAAAGGAGCCCACTGCCCATGATATGACAAACAACCCTGTCCTGTCTGTCACAAGCCTCAACGCTCATGTCTAAAGGAATCACCTGGGCACCTGATAAAAGCCAAATAGGTGGAAGGAGGTCCAGGCTGTCACTTGCAGCAAGTCCTCCAAGCGGATGCCAACACAGCACTTGCCATGTCAGTGCTCTACCTGGTCAGACCAGAGTTAAAAGAATGCCACGCATGGTTGCCTTCTGAAAGGTTTGCAGAGGTGATACAAATTCCAATAATAATGGCAGCCAACACGTATGAGACACGTGCTATGCAGGGAATCATGCCTTTACAAAGGTATTTCATTTCATCTTTATAAATCCCATGAAGCAGACTCTGTCATCACATGTCATAGGAGAGGCAGTGCAGGACAAGGATGAAGTGACCCGCCCAGAGTACACTGCAGGAGGGGGCTGCCTGCCCTCAAGGCCAGCACACCACCGTTCATCCACAGATGCACTGATCGGCTGATGCACCATCAACCATAAGAGGCATCATGATCACATGTTAGCATGTGAAAAATGTGCATCTTAGACTCTGAGAGATGTGTCCACTCATCACCGGCAAGTCTGTGTCCCTGGAGAGATATGCCCACAGGGACAAGCCGGGCAGAAGCACAGAACCCGTTCCTCCCCACTTCTCAGGATGAGGAGCGCTGTGTCCACCTTTCAGGCAGCCCACTGACTCACCACAGCTTCGTACAGTCTGCCGAACTCCATGTGGTTCGGAGTGAGAATGGCTTTCTGGTAGCCTTGGATGAGGGCTGGCTGCTGAGCGACCAGCCACAGGCCATCCTGCACAAAACAAGGACCCGCGTTCACTGGACAGGCCTTACAGGAACCTGCGCTGGGAGGGGAGAGGCCACACTCACCGCGTCCACGACGACAGGGATGCCCCTGGCCCTGGATGCTTCCAAAATGCCCTGCCAGAAGAGAAAATGACAGTGAGCACCAGGCCCGTCACCTCTGTTATGGGTTGAATGTTGTTCCCTGCAAAACTCATGTAGAAGTTTAACTGCCAATGGAAGGGTGCTGGGAAGTAGGGGCTTTAAAAGGTGACTAGGCCATGTGGGCCTAATGGGTTGGTTTAGTGACTTTGAAAAAGGGCTTTCAGGGCTGTCTCTCTTGCCCTTTCGCCACGTGATGATACAGCCAGATGCTGGCATCTTGATCTTGGACTCCTGGCCTCCTGCACTGTGAACTAGTCAGTATCTGTTCATTATAAACTACCTCGTCTGTGGTACCATTACAGCAGCACAGAACAGACCAAGACACTTTTCAAGAGGAATTAAAACCAGGCAGTCCCTTAATAAAATGCAACATCAGATCATCAACAAATAAATAGAAAATAATAAACTAAATGAATAAAATAAACAGAGAGGAAGAAAGACACTGAACTGGCAGAGCCCCCTAAAAAGGCAGGACACTGGGAACCCCGAGAAGAGAAGCCCGCTGGGAGTGCTGTGAACAGTGGCTGTGTTCCCAGGCTAGCCCACAAAGACCTACCCCCAGTAGGGCTTCCAAACTTCCAACAGACACTAATCTTCAGGATTTGGAGATGAGAAATCTGAATTCTCAGGAATTCCCCAAATCATTAGTCATCCCATATTTTTCATAACATTTTACTTACATGTTTCAAAATAAGTGACCATAATGAACAGTGAATCATTTTTCCCTGATAGGATTACACTAAAAGTTTCAAAGGTTTTCTTCTAAAAACAGAAAACATCATCAACATGTGGTTGCTTATTATTAGTATGAACCAACATATTGTGACAAGATTATACACTGCAATAGCATGGTAAAATAATCTCCACTTGATGTAGACATTTAATAGAAAACATTAAAAGAGATTAAAACAAAATATATGCTAAGTAAAAATAATTTAAAATACTGAAAAGTAAAGCCACTTATATTTAATCAAAACTTTTTCTGAAAATGAAATCTGAAAACCCACAGCATTAGCTGCCCACCCTGAGAGCTTTATTGTGTGACAAATATTCCAGCTGTAGAAAACATCTGTCTTTTGCTCTGACATTGGTCCAAGTGTTAGGAGTGTGTCCAAAAGCCCCATCAGGTGAGAGTCAGAGTACAAGAGCCTTCACAGAAGCTTATTTCCTTTTTTATTAATAATAATGAAAATTCTTTGCCCTGATTTTGGCTTTACTGTTGAAACTGACAGGCTTTTCCTAATTCAGACTTTAAATCAGTTTCTGATTTTGTGTTGCAGTATTTGGCAACAACCTGATATCTTTGTGTCTTGTGTTTTTTCTATTAAGGTATTTACAAAGAACAGTAGCCTAAGGTTAATATTGAAATACTGGAAAATGGGAGTCAACCTTATTGGGTAGTATTTGAACAGGGCACTCAGACCTCCTAGGAAGACTAACAGCACTAGCCAGCTACACAGTATCAGAGTACCCAGAGCAAAGGGGATCCCATCCATGGGAGAGCAAACTGCTACAAGCCTGGGTGCTTGGGAGCACCTCTCAAAAATGTAAACGTCTATACTCTTTGATTCAGCAGTGGAACTTCCAGAAATTTATCATAAAGAAAATACCCCAAGAGTGGACAAAATATACAGAAATGTTCAAGACATCACTCTCATAATAGGGAAAAGGCTGAAAACAGCCTTAATGAACTAGTTGAAATGAACTAGTTGAATACATTATAGCAGCAGTCCCCAACCTTTTTGGCACTAGGGACCAGTTTCATGGAAGACAATTTTTCCATGGATGGGAGCAGGGGAGGCAGAGCTCAGGCAGTGATGGCAGCAATGGGGAGCAGCTTCGTGAGTGACCGGGAGTAGCTTCACTGGCTCACCCCGCCCACTGCTCACTTCCTGCTGTGCGGCCCGGTTCCTAACAGGCCATAACATGCCACAGACCAGTACTAGTCCTCGGACCAAGGTTGGAGACCACAGCATTATAGTATATCCACAGTGAATTATGATGTAGCTCTTACAAATAATGAGGGACATCTGCATATCCTGCCAGGAAAGAGTCTCCAGGACACGCTGTTAAAAAGAGCACGTTGCAAAGAGCACAGCGTGAGGACAGGTGTGCTAGTCAGGAGCCTACTTTCTTTCTGGATTCAGGCAACTGGTGCAAAACCAGCTCATGAATCAGAAGACTTAGTACTGTTAAGGCAGCGATACTCTACAAATTCAACATAATCCCTACCAAAATCCCAGTGCAAATCAACAAGCAGATCCAGGACTCATCTGGGGATGCATTCGAGTCTTGGCTCTCACCAGGAGAGCCAAAACAGCCTCGAAAAGAATGAAGTTGGAGGACTTAACACTTTCCGATTTGAAAGCCGCCTACACAGCCACAGTAATCAAGACAGTGGGTAGTTGTGTAAGGACTGCCACATAGATCAATGGAACAGAAATAAGAGTCTAGAAATAAAGCCTTAAATTTAGGGTCAAGTGATTTTCAATACGGATGCCAAGACAAGTCAGGAGGAAAGAAGAGTATGTCCAACAAACGGTGCTAGAACAACTGGATTCCCACGTGCAAAAGTATGAAGCTGGACCCTTCCTTACACCGCAGACAAAAGTCAACTCAAAATGGATCACAGACCTAAATATAAGAGCTAAAACCATAAAGCTCTTAAAAGAAAAGATAGTTGTAAACGTTGGGCTAGGCAAAACCTTAGATAAGACACCAAAAGCACAAGGGACAAAAGAAAAAACAGATAAATTGGACTTCATCAAAATTAAAAATTTGGGCTGCAAACAAAACCATCAAGGAAGTAAAAAGACAACCCACAAAATGAGAAGATATTTGCACATCCTATCTCTGATAAGGGATTTGTATCTAGAATATATATAAAGACCTTTAAAACAATAGTAAATAAACAATTTTCAAAATGGGGAAAAGCTATGAACAGACACTCCTCCAAAGAAGACATACGAATGTCCAATAAACACATGAAAAGATGCTCAACACCATCGGTCACCAGGGAAATGCAACCCAAACCACGTGGGATGCCACTGCATACCCACTAGGATGGTTAACAATTAAAACCACAAGTGTTGGGGACGATGTGGAGAATTGCAACCCTCACACATTGTTAGTGGGAACATTAGATGGTACAGCAGCTGTGGGAAATGGGCAGTTCCTCAAAACGTTAAACACAGTTACCATGTGACCCAGCCACTTCCACTCCTAAACATACACCCCAGAGAAATGAAAATACATATTCACACAGAAACTGGTAAACACATATTCATAGCAGCATTATTCATAAGGGCCAGTAAGTGGAAACAAACCAAATGTCTATCAGCTAACCAACAGATTAAACCAAAGCTAGTGTATCCATAACAGTGAAACAGACAGGAAAAGGAATGAAGTTCTGATACATGCTACAACATGAACTATGAATATGAAATTATGACGAGTGAACAAAACAACTTACAAAATGGCACATACTGTATGATCCATTCATGTGCTATGTCCAGAATCAGAGACAGAGAGTAGATGAGTGGCTGCCCAGAACTGGGGAGGTTGGGGAACAGGGAACAGAGGATAACACGTATGAAGTTTCTTTTTGAGATCATAAAAATGTTTTAAAATAGATTATAGTGTTGGTGCACAACTCTATGAATACACTAGAAACCACCAAGTTGTACCCTTTAAATGGGTGAATTGTATGGTAAATTATTTTCAAAAAGTTGTTAAAAAAAAAAAACAACTCAGCAATTTAGTTGCTACAAGACCACCTTGGGGATGGATGGTCTTGAATCCTCACCAGGATTCAATTTGTCATTAGGAAAAAAAACAAGGGTAAGAACAGAAATCTATCTAATAGGGCCGTTTCTAGGACTAGGTAGATAACGGCCTCACTCAGAAAGTATCTACCGAGTGTCTGTTCGGTGGCCCGCACCGTGCTGGGAGCCGACGGGGGAGAAAGCAGAGTCACGCTCAGCATTCGCTGGAACACAGCGACCGCGAAGTGAGCAAGTGTCAGGGCCACCACTGCTGCTGTACATGAACCAAAACGCGGAGTCTGCAGTCTGGGCTGGAAGGACGGTGAGGCGCACACTCACTGCCCACATGTTACATTTCCACGTTGCAAAGTGTTTTCTTTCTCTTAGGATGCCAGTTTTTCTTTTAATTATGAACTTAAACTCACAGAGAAAAGGCCCTGAAGCACAGAGAACTCCGGCCATTTTCACCTTAAGCTCGTCCACACCCCCAGGATGCAACGGTGGATGGAGCAAAGCCACCGCACGGAGCCCAGCTGTTTGCAGGTAGGACTTCCTGTGGACAGCTTCTCCCTCGGCTCTATCGTTCCTAGACCATGACTACCTCCTTCTTCTTGGCAAGCGGTTAAGATGTTCAAAGACCTAATGGTGCCACATGACAAATAACTTGTGCTCCCCATGCCAACTCCACGTCGCTTCAAAAACCACGAGAATCAGGCCGGGCGCGGTGGCTCATGCCTGTAATCCTAGCACTCTGGGAGGCCGAGGCGGGCGGATTGTTTGAGCTCA